GAGGCGGCGATACCGTTGTTGACAAAACTATAGCGACTTTCGGCGTCGATTGATGGCGGCGACTGAAATGTTCGAACAAATGAGAGACGTTTTCTAAAGTCAAAAAAGCGAAGCGTTCGAGCGACCGAGTCAGTCTGAATTTGTCTAGCGAAAAGAGCAGATCGATTTTTGACGAGCTAAGAGTGAGATTCTAAGAGCGTAACGAGTGAGCGTTTTAAGAGACTGTGTAGAGTTTTTGCGTTGAATTCCCGATTCTTCTGGCCCTTATTTTATAATATAATAAACTTATTATACAACCTATATCCCTACATTTGTAATATACAATTACATATCTTTTTTGCAGAGCAACAATGTATTTTCTTTACACCATTACTGTATTATTTATACTTATCGTATTGGGGGGCGGAGGGTTTCATTATTATATACATTATGGAAGAAATGGGCGACTGATCAGTCTTATACCAGGGCCATCAGGTTATCCGATTTTTGGAAATCTACTGCAATATATAGGCCCACGAGGTAAGTTTAAGTTTTTCAAAAATTTGCATAAATTAAACGTTTTCCTTAATTTGTACATATATACGCAAAAGTAATAATTACGAACACATTTCAGTTTAAGATATATTACTATCAATATTATCGTATATTCATATTATATACATTTTTTTAGAGAAACAATGGAAGTTACTGATCAGTCTAATTGACCAGTACTATCCAATTGTTAAACTTTGGGGATTCTCTATCCCCTTTGTATTCATCCGTCATCCGGACGATTTACAGGTAATAAAATATTTAAACAATTTAATTTTCTGTTAACTCTCCGTGGTCACACTGGGTCAATTTGACCCAACCTTATTTGGATCTAAATATCAGCTAAATACGTAGCTTAAAATGGAGCTTGGTCCGCCATCTACAAGAGTTTGAAGTATCCTCTATAGGTAGATACCGTTAAAAAAACAAATTCTTCGCGAATTTTTTTTATATGTTAAAAATTCCTGAGGCACTTTTTTTTTCATAGCAATTAATTTAGCAATATCGCAGGTGCATTCGAGAATTTTTTCAACACGATCGGTGGATAAATGGTCAAATGGCGAACGATCAAAGTTCGTCTCGGGTCAAAATGACCCAGAGTGACTTCCTTGTTTGAAAAAATAGGTGTGACCACGGAGGTTTAATGTTCTTATAGTTCATACACCAGTGATTTAAGTATTTAGGTGTAATTTTGCTTAGTTTTATTTTGCGAAAATATATATATTTATTCATAGTTTTATAGAGATAATAATCAAATAAGACAATTTCCAAATCAACTAATTAATTATTTACATTGCATCTAAATTAATTGAATATCTTCTGTGATTTCAGACAATATTAAGCAGCCGGCACCACATTAGAAAAAACTTTTTTTATGATGTTCTACGTCCATGGATGGGCAATAATATTTTAATTAGTGAAGGTAAAGTACATAATAATAATTTAAAAAATTTTTTCTAGTTACAAAAAATTTTCTTGTTTATGAAATGTCTATTGTTTATGTTTCAGGCGCCAAATGGCGTTCAATACGGAAAACAGTAACTCCCGCATTTCATTTTGATATTTTGAAGCAACATGCTGAGATTTTGATCAAGGAGGGTGAAAACTTGACAACATCTTTGAAAAATACAGGAGGCACAGTTGTAAAAGATTTAGTATCGTTTGTTAGTGAACATACGTTGAATGCAATATGCGGTATTACAAACACATTTTATTCAAAATCTAAACATGTACAATAACATTACTGTAATTTTACAAATTTCTTTTTAGAAACTTCAATGGGTATTTCTCTACGTGACTTCGGTGAATTCCAGCAAAAATATCGAAAAGCTGTTAATCGGATTGGCGAACTTTTTATTTATAGGTAATTTATGAATATAATAATAAATAAATAATTGTAATGAGATTATTATTTAGTAATTATGGTTTAGGTTAGTGAGGATGTGGTTGCACAACGACTGGATATTCTCGTTAACATCAAAAGGCAAGGAACAGGAAAATATTCTAAGAATGTTACATGGATTTACTAACCACGTACGTAAAAATGTTATCTTATTTTTTGTTAGTGGTTGGTATATTCATAATCACTATTAAAAAAGTGTTGATTTTATATACACGTAGATTATTACGGAAAGAAAACGGTATCATGAACGCAATAACGGTCAATTATTGAGAAGGAATGGAAAACTTTCCTTGTTGGATCATCTAATAGCAGAAAATCGAAAAGGTCGTCTAACTGATTTAGATGTCAAGGAGCAAATTGATGGTTTTATGTTTGCTGTACGTATTTCTAAATTTTCTTGGTTTTTTATAAGTTATTTGAACGTATATTAAGGTATAATATATATGTGATTACAGGGTCATGATACTACGGCATTGAACTTAACCTATCTATTGATGCTATTAGCTGAGCATAAAGACATTCAGGTATTTATTGTTATAAATAAAATATAAATAAAAGGCATTCTTAGAAAAAAAGTTTAGTAATTTTAATGATTCAAACAGTTATGTATTAAAGTTACAAAATATTAAATTTTTGGTTTTTTAAATAAGATTTGGTTATGTACGCAATATATATATACATATACTAGCTTTTAAGTCCGTTACGCGGGGAATTACATCATATAGTATTTTTTTTTTGAAGTTTTAATCGATTTCCTTAGGGTTACAATTCTCATCCATCACTACCCTTCTCCTCTCACTTAACCCTTTGGACCATCGGCTTAACGTCTCTTTATTTCCGAAAGACGGAGCCCAGTTTGTTCCGCACAAGAGCCTATCTTGCACGGAGGGCGTAGCTTTCGGAAAATAAATTCCATGTTTACATGCTCTAGTGGACTACGGTCTAACAAGTAACACTACCCAAATGCAAATCGCCGATTTTGATAATTTTTGAATATGGAAAACCATATTTACACCCCTTTGAATTTATGGGTATTGATTTAATTGTTTTGTATATAAAGGATTTAGTATTTTCGGCCCGAACCAAATAAAATAGTTGCATCATCAAGAGATATGAAAAATGAAAAATTTTCGACTCGGTTCAATCATTTTTAGGGGGTAAACCACCCCCTGTATTTGAAACAAAAATTTAAAAAATTCCCAAATAATTGCAAATTTTATTCCAAAACTTTGAAAAAAATATATGTTACACTCGCATCCAGAACAAAAGTGAGACTGTTTGACAATTTCAAAGGGGTGTAAATATGGTTTTCCGCCAATAAAAAAAAATACGTATGTCTTATTTTTACGTCTGTTAAAACATTCAAAAATTATCAAAATTGGCGATTTACATTTGGGTAGTGTTACTTGTATAAGCAACGTGGACCAAAAATGCCCTTATAAATTTTGTAGCCAAGGATTACTTTTCACAATGGTATATACCACATTTTACTAAAATTATTTGTTTTGTTGTTAAAAATCGGCACCAAACAAATAGTGAAGATCTCCCCTATACTTATTATTTCTCCAAAAATTAGACAAATTTTGGCACCGGTTTTGAGAAAATCGGTTCATTAATGAATGAGTAGTTCGCGGTGAGACAGACAGATAGACAGACAGACAGAGTCAGGTACTTATATATATAATATTTGAATATAAAAATTTTAATTAATATTATAAATATTTACAGGATCGTGTCAGAAACGAAGTAAACACCACTTTTCAAGAAAATGGAAAAAAATTTAATAAAAAATTATTAGACAATTTAACATATTTAGATAGATGTATAAAAGAAACTTTGCGTCTATATCCGAGCGTATTTTTAATATCGCGAGTTGCTGAGGAAGACGTTAAATTACGTATGTATCTAAAATATTTATTACATGTTGCATGATATGTTATTCAGTTTATAATAAAGTTATTATTATTATTTAATTATTGTATTTTGTTTATAATATATTTTTTAGAGTCATATTTAGTACCGGCGGGAACAACTGTGGTCCTTAACATATATGGAGTTCACAGGGATCCTAATTTTTGGCTAAATCCTGAGACATTTGATCCCGATAGATTTTTGCCAGAGAGGACTCGAAATCGTCATTTCTATTCTTATATACCATTTAGTGCTGGATCGCGTAATTGTTTAGGTAAACTAGGATTTTTTAAATATCTTCTTATATGATTATATTAAGTCGCAAAAAATATACATTGATCAAATTCTAGGCCAGCGATACGCCTTTCTACAAATAAAGGCTTTAATAGCTCCTCTGATACAGAATTATTATTTAGAGCCCATCGATTATTTAAAGAATCTGAGGCTACAGGCTGACTTAGTACTTCGCCCAGCATGTCCACTTCGTGTAAAATTTGTCCCTATTTGAGGCAAGTTGAGGAAACATAATTCTTATTATTAATATATAACTTTTAGAATATAATAGTTACTTATAAATATACTGTAAATAAAGAGCACTGCTCGATCCACACGCGTGTATACGCACTCAAGTATCATATGTAGGATAATGTACATTATGGCTGTCGCGATGAGAGTTGCGCACAATATAAAACAATAATATTATAACAACAGAAAATTAATATACTACCAACGTTATTTTTAAGTCCAAATTACAAGTAATTTTGAACTGTTGCATTGATCTCAAATAAATGTCAGAGTAACATTTAAAAAATATTTTCTGAAACGTTTTTAACATATTTTAACAACATTACAAAAAAATCATATTACAAAATAGGGTAGACCGGGGCACGTTGTCACACAGGGCACATTGTCACATCGGCTTTATTTAAAAAACTAATAACCACAGGGCAGCACCCGTCATTCCCAAAACGTGTTAGTGTATGCCCATCTTTGGTGTGTTTACAGTGTTGAGATTGCTCCAGCCGTGTTGACGTAAAATCAACTTGAAAGTTTTTTGCGACCGTAAGTAAAATTTTATTGTCTAATATTCAACGTACTGGACATTAAGCTTATGTTTTTTCAGAATAGACCTTTATATTATCTTAAAGTATGTACTTTTACTTACCGCGTGCAATACCTAGCCTTATGAATATCTCCAAACGTATCGGCCATGAGGCTGTTTGAAGTAAAAAAATGCCCTCGGGGCACGTTGTCACGAATTTGATGGGAATCTATTGCGAATCTTCGGATGACGATAACGAGTAAAAATATTTTATGTTTAATCACCATGATTATAAAAAAAAAAAATGTGTATCAATAAGTTGCGCATTCGAGTGGAATTCTTGTATTTAGATTAAGACAAAAACTTCGTGCTTTTTGTACTTTTTTGAAATAAAATAAATGTTTTTGTGAAGGATTTTACTTTTTTACATTGCAGCGCACTATAATACATATATTGATATTTACGTTGAATACAGTTTGG